GTAGAGGGTAGAACCTGAGGAGGACCTCGTGCGCAAACTCTGACGTGCAGCTGTGATTTATAAAGGAAAGATGTGCAGAAACGTGCATACTAACAAACACTGTGTTCTGATGGAAACTAACAATACTTACAGACAGTTGTCTTCAGCACAAATAGACTCATGATGTCATCATGTTTCTGCTGCAGTCCTGCCATGCAATGACAGTCTGTGTTTTACTTTCTTTGTTTTTCTTTGTTTGATTGAACTGCAGTTACAAAGAAACATTTATCTGAGTAAATAATYTGATGCAGGAATTTACTAAACTGTCCCCAAAATATGACATTTCTCTAATAAAACATACTTTTATTGATCACCTGATGGGGAAAATAATTTACTGCATTTTATCAATCACACATGTGAACACATACATGTGAACACATATGTGAACACACGTGAACACGCATGTGAACACACACATGAACACAGACATGTGAACACATACTGTATGTGAACACACATGTGAACACGCATGTGAACATGCATGTGAACACACATGTGAACATACACGTTAACACGCATGTTAACAAACGTGAAAATGCATGTGAACACACATGAACACTTGTGAACACGCATGTGAACATGCATGTGAAATCACACATGTGAACATGCATGTGAAATCACACATGTTAACACCCATGTGAATACACACACATGTGAACACACACATGTCTGAACATGCATGTGAACATGTATGTTAATACACATGTGAACACACACATGTGAACATGCATGTGAACTCACATGTGAACACACGTGAACTCACATGTGAACACACATGTGAATACACACACATGTGAACATGCATATGAACACACACATGTCTGAACATGCATGTGAACACACCCGTGAACATGCATGTGAAAACACACGTGAACACACATGTGAACACACACATGTGAACACACACATGTGGAGCCATTTCTGAGGAACCTGGGGATCAGTTGAGGAGTCAGGGGCTTTGCTCAAGTGGGGGATGGTTGGTCTGTGGAGTTGAACTCCTTCTAAACAGAGGCTTGACTTCTCTAACCTCTGCACCACCACTGGTGAAGGAGCTAAAGGTTTGTGCCAATCAAAATGAACATTTCTGCATTAAAATCACTCAGAGCTGGTCTCAGAACTCCACAGACCTGGGATCGTTCAGTGTTTGTTTACTCTGGAAACTCTGGTGAGTGATATCAAGCAAGGCTGTCATCTGTAGGGCAGTCGGTTAGCAATTTAGTTACATTAGCATCATTTAACAAAGTAAGAAGTCATTTAAAAACCAGTCAGAGTACTTTGAGCGATTTTCTTTTTGAATACGTAATGTCAGTTAGTTTAAACGTGTTTGTAAGTTGATTGTCCCATATTAAAATTGTTAAATTTATGAATATGTTTAAAAGGATGTTACCTGTGGTGGGCACAGCTAATGAAAAAATTAGCTCTGCAATTTCTAAAACACTTATGAATATATTTGGTTCCACAACATCAAAAGAGCACATGCAGTAGAAAAATTAGCGGACGCTAATTTCATTCCACAGTTCAATTTGACACCAGTTGCTGGCAAAAAGAGGTGCATTATATATGCACTACACTGCCATGTAGCAGCGTATGAAATCTTCTACAACTTAATTTTACAAACGTCAATTGTTGATGGCATGATTTCCTGTAACAGACATTTCACTCGGTGTCAAAATTAAACAATTTATGAGGATTGCTTAGTAGTGCTTATTTAAAACGTGTTGGAGATTGCTAGTTTGGCTGCTGCTTTTTTGTCTTTTTCTTTCATTTACTGTAGATTTTTTAGTAAAGATGCACATCAATAAAATAATTTTAAAACTGTTTATTGGAAAGCTGAAGTGATGCATTCTGGGTACAACTGTGACGGGAAATGAAAAATACATGTAAATGTGTCCAGTGTGAGATTCTGCTGCTCAGCTTGTCCTCTGTGGGATCAGAAATGATTTTTAGATGCAGGAAATTTATACATTAAATGGAAATGAATGAGTGAGAAAAAACATTAAAACCATTTCCAGGTTTGTGGGATGAGAGAAGAAGCCATCTTTATGGAGAGAGACAACCTGTTGTTAAACGGGGTGGAGACATCCATGTCCAATTGTCCCGCTCTTACTATACTGTTATTACAAGTATCCCTCAGCCCTCTATGAATAAAAAGCAACAATTTCAGCACTATTTTTTACAATGTCTGTACTTACTCAGAATGTAGGGAGACTTTGACCACTGGCAGCAGCCTCTCAATAACACTCTGGTCAGTAGAATAGTCCTTTGGGTCAAAATGATCCAGAACTTTTTCTGATGACATTAAGATGAAGGCCAGTGCTGACCAATGAGCAGGAGACAGTTTATCAGTGGAGAGACTTCCTGACCTCAGAGACTGTTGGATGTCCTCCACTAGAGAAGCATCATTCAGTTCATTCAGACAGTGGAACAGATTGATGCTTTTCTCTGCAGACTGATTCTCATTGATCTTCATCTTGATGTACTTGACTGTTTTCTGATTGGTCTGTGAGATACTTCCTGTCTGTGTCAGCAGGCCTCGTAGGACAGTCTGATTGGTCTGCAAGGAAAGACCTAGGAGGAACCGGAGGAACAAGTCCAGGTGTCCATTTGGACAATCTAAGGCCTGGTTCACAGCCCACTGATGAAGAAAACTTAGATCACGTATTCCAGGATTCTTAGATGATTCATCTTGTCCCATCAGGTTGAGTCCATGTTTGATGAAGGTCAGTTGGACATGAAGAGCAGCCAGAAACTCCTGAACACTCAGATGGACGAAGCAGAACACCTGGTTCTGGTACAGTCCTCTCTCTTCTTTAAAGATCTGGGTGAACACTCCTGAGTACACTGAGGCTGCTGTCATATCGATGCCACACTCTGTCAGGTCTGATTCATAGAAGATCAGGTTTCCTTTCTGCAGCTGATCAAAAGCCAGTTTTCCCAGAGACTCAATCATCTTCCTGCTCTCTGGACTCCAGTCTGGATCATTCTCAGCTCCTCCATCATACTTGACCTTCTTGACTTTGGTGTGAACCAGCAGGAAGTGGATGTACATCTCAGTCAGGGTGTTGGGCAGCTCTCCTCCCTCTCTGCTCTTCAAKACATGGTCCAGAACTGTAGCAGTGATCCAGCAGAAGACTGGGATGTGGCACATGATGTGGAGGCTTCGTGAGGTCTCGATGTGGGAGATGATTCTGCTGGCCTTCTCTTCGTCGCTGAATTTCTTTCTGAAGTACTCCACCTTCTGTGGGTCAGTGAAGCCTCTGACCTCTGTCACCATGTGGACACAGTCAGCAGGGATCTGATTGGCTGCTGCAGGTCTTGTGGTTATCCAAAGGCGAGCAGAGGGAAGCAGGTTCCCCCTGATGAGGTTTGTCAGCAGAACATCCACAGAGGTGGACTCCGTGACATCGGTCAAGACCTGGTTTCTGTGGAGGTCCAGAGGAAGTCGACTCTCATCCAGACCATCAAAGATGAAGAGCAGCTGGAAGTCTTCAAAGCTGCACATTTCTTTGGTTTCAGAGAAGAAGTGATGAAGAAGTTCCACCAAACTGAACTTTGTCTCTTTCAACACATTCAGCTGTCTGAAGGTGAATGGAAACAGGAAGTGGATGTCCTGGTTGGTTCTGTCTTCAGCCCAGTCCAGAGTGAACTTCTGTGTTAAGATTGTTTTCCCAATTCCAGCCACTCCCTTTGTCAGGACTGTTCTGATTGGTTGATGTCTTCCAGGTGYGAGTTTAAAGATGTCTTCTTGTCTGATGGTTGTTTCCGGTCTGTGTTGTTTCCTGGATGCTGTTTCAATCTGTCTGACCTCATGTTGATCATTGAGCTCTGTAGTTCCTCCCTCTGTGATGTAGAGCTCTGTGTAGATCTGATTCAGTAAGGTTGGGTTTCCTGCTTTAGAGATGCCCTCAAACACACACTGGGACCTCTGCTTCAGACGACATTTAAGTTTACAAACTGCAGCTTGTCCTGAATGAAGACAAAGGAATGAGAAAAGTCACAAAGTTATTTCTCTGTATCTGTTACTGATTTTCTCCTTCATGTCTCCATCAGGTCAGGTGTTTGTATAAATCTTCTTACTCCTCAGCAGACGCTCAGCCAGCTCCTCCTGCTTCATCCTCCTCAGGAAGTAAACTGTGATCTTCATCAAAGCCTCTCTGCTCCTCTTCCTCTGCTCTTCATCCTCAACCTCCAAATCCTCCTCATCCTCCCTCTGACTCTCAAAGCATTCTGGGTAATCTGGGCTCAGAACCTTCTGGATCTTCGTAAGCTCCTTCTTCACAAAAGAGACAATGTTGTCCTCCAGCAGCTGGAAAAGAAGAATAACTGAATGAGACATCAGGTCCATGTTGGACACACAGTCCACTGGTCTACTTGTTGGACAGACTGTCTACTGGTCTAAATGTTGGACAGAAAAACAGTCCACTAGTCTACATGTAGGACGGACTGTCTACTGGTCTACACGTTGGATAGACAGACAGTCCACTGGTCTATATGTAGGACAGAGAGATAATCCACTGGTCTACATGTTGGACAGACAGTTCACTGGTCGATTTGTAGGACAGAGAGATAGTCCACTGGTCTATATGTTGGACAGGCAGTACACGGGTCTACATGTTGGACAGACAGTCCACTGCTCTACATGTTGGACAGACAGTCCACTGCTCTACATGTTGGACAGACAGTCCACTGGTCTACATGTTGGACATACAGTCTACTGGTCTACATGCTGGATAGACAGTCTACTGGTCTACATGTTGGACAGACAATCCACTGGTCTAAATGTTGGACAGCGTCTACTGGTCTACATGTTGGACAGACAGTCCACTGGGCCACATAATGGACAGTATGACAGTCCACATGTGTACATGTAGGTGAGATAGTCCACTGGTCTACATGTAGGACAGAGAGATAGTCCACTAGTCTACATGTAGGACAGAGAGATAGTCCACTAGTCTACATGTAGGACAGAGAGATAGTCCACTAGTCTACATGTAGGACAGACAGACAGTCCACTGGTCTAAATATAGGACAGAGAGTTAGTCCAATGGTCTAGTCCAATGGTCTACATGTTGGACATACAGTCTACTGCTCTACATGTTGGACAAACAGTGTACTGGTCTACATGTTGGACAGACAATCCACTGGTCTAAATGTTGGACAGACTGACAGTCCACTGGTCTACATGATGGACAGAGTCTACTGGTCTACATGTTGGACAGACAGTCCACTGGGCCACATATTGGACAGTATGAGAGTCCACATGTCTACATGTAGGTGAGATAGTCCACTGGTCTACATGTAGGACAGAGGGATAGTCCACTAATCTGCATGTAGGACAGGCAGTCTACAGGTCTACATGTTGGACAGAAAGACAGTCCACTGGTCTACATGTAGGACAGACAGTCCACTGGGCCACATAATGGACAGTATGACAGTCCACGTGTGTACATGTAGGTGAGATAGTCCACTGGTCTACATGTAGGACATACAGTCTACTGGTCTACTTGTTGTACAGACAGCCTACTTGTCTACATGTTGGACAGACAGTCCACTGGTCTACATGTTGGACAGACAGTCCACTGGTCTACATGTTGGACAGACAGTCCACTGGTCTAAATGTTGGACAGACTGACAGTCCACTGGTCTACATGATGGACAAACTGACAGTCCACTGGTCTACATGATGGACAGACTGACAGTCCACTGGTCTACATGATGGACAGACAGTCTACTGGTCAACATGTTGGACAGACAATCCACTTTGCCACATATTGGAGAGTATGACAGTCCACATTTCAACATGTAGGTGAGATAGTCCACTGGTCTACATGTAGGACAGAGAGATAGTACACTGGTTTTAAATGTTGGACAGACAGACATAAAGACTGCACACTGCTCTACATGTTGAACAGTTAGTCCTCTGCTCTACATCTTGTACAGACAGTCCACTGGTCTACATGTTGGACATAAAATCTACTGGTCTTTATGTTGTACAGACAGTCTACTGGTCAACATTATGGACAGCAGACAGTCCACTGGTCTACATGAAGGACAGACAAAGTCCACTGGGCAACATATTGAACAGTATGACAATCCACTGATCTACATGTAGGTGAGATAGTCCACTGGCCAACACGTAGGACAGACAGTCCACTGGTCGACATGTAAGACAGAGAGGCAGTCCAGTGTTCTACATGTAGGACTGAGAGATAGTCCACTGGTTTACATGTTGGACAGACAGACAAAAAGACTGTCCACTGGTCTAGATGTTGGACAGGCAATTCATTGGCCTACATGTTGGACAAATAGTGTTGAGGATTCTAGTAGTACGTTTAGGGACAAAAGGTCAGAATAAGGGTCACGTAAACATCTGGAAGAACATTCTGGAAAAGTTGACACCATCAAGCAGTCCACAAATACATTTAATTAGTGTGTATTGGGTGGTCTTAAATTTCTAGCCCATTCTGGGAAAAGCCCACCCTTTCCTGGCTTTGTATGATGACAAACAACTGGGGTATAAAAAGTTCTGGTTTCTAAATACATCAGTTCAGTTTTGAATGTCTGCCCTGTCGGTTGAAATGTGTTACTGAAATCAATTAAAACTCCCTTTTCGGCTGGCCAAAAATCGATGTCTCCTCATCTTTTTTCATCTTGACAGCAGAAATCTTCTCTGACCCTTCATTTTGGCGACCCATCGTGGGTGAGCATCTGGCCTGCTGTCGTTCTCGGCTGAGAAGGGACTGGAGAGAGTCGAGGGCCCTTAGGTAAATTAATATTTTTTTAATTTAAAAGTGATTCCTTTTCCCCTCTCTGCTGGGAGGGCTGTGTGGCCAGGCTCAGAAATACAGAGAATACAGAATTGAATCTGGGAGAATCTTTTAGCCAGCTGAGGGGAGATTACTAAAAACATGCATGCTTTGGAGCTGTTCAAAAAACATAAATATTTAAATTAAAAGGTTAAAACCGATAGAATTGAAAATTGGGAAAAACAGCTTCTTGTTGTTGACAGTAAAAAAAGCTGTGATACACAGTGTCTGTGCGCAGTGGAAAAGCTACGGACGTAAGGGTTAAAAGCTGTAAATTTACAGTGCCTGTGTGTAGAGGAAAACAGCAGGCGTAAGGTTAAAAGCTGTGATTACCGAGACACAGTGCCTGTGTGCAGTGGAAAGGCAACAGGCATGAGAGAAATATATCTTATGTATGCTAAATTAGACCCCAAAATGTTTAAAGTTGAAAGCATACGTCTTTAAAAATAGTGACACAAGCTTGTGTAAAAGATCTAAAAAGGCCTGAAAAACGAAAGAAAAAACTGTGCACAGAGGAAA